CAACACACCCACCCACTGCCCTATGTGGCAAGGACAGATACTGACGATGACGTGGGATAAAGACCGACCTGAGGATTCGTGGCAAGTGTCTCTGGCTTGTTTCAGAACCTTAGGTGGTGTTTATGCATCCCGGGAATGTCTCAGCCTTGACTGCCTTGGTTCTAGCCTCATATTGGAGGCAGGTGGGGTGGGACACAGGTGCAACCTTTTCTGAGCACTAGTCATCAGCAGAGACTGCCCTCTGGGGCTTGGTACTGCTGTTCTCAGGGAACCGCCTGCCTGTCTTCTGACTCAGGCCTGTGGGGTTATCTGCTGCCTGTGAGACTTCACTGTGAAACCCCCACTCTGGGTGGCGCCCACTGAAGGAATCCCCCACCTGAAATCCCTCCATGTACACTGACTCATCACAGCTGGCCTTGGGAACCCTGCTAGAAATCAGGGTATAAAAAGGTTGAATGATGTCCCTATGGTTTTGGTACCCCCAAAACACTGCCTCTATTCATCAAGAACAACTTGAAATTCTCCACCACGGTAGAAGTGGAGGAAGGTTCTTCTACGGTGCCAAGGGACCGCAAATCAAGTTTCTGGAATTAAACATTTTGTATGATGGGATCAATCATTTGCACGACATTCATGGAGCACCAGACATGGGCGAGACACAGGGGAGACGAACGCCTGCGAGCTCCGTGTAACGGGCGAGACAGACAGCAGGACATGACCCAAGCATATGCTCTGGGTGCCGCGGACACATCAAGGCCAGGCAGCAGCGGGGGAGTCGGGTAAAGCACTCTGGAGGAAGCAGAACAACTCCACCTTGTTCCTCTAACCACTTCGGGCTGGGGCTGCCTTTCTCAGGCATTCAAGGAAAAAAAATAAGTTTTCGTTTCCAAAGCTTGCTTTGTTTCAGCTTTACCAGCTCCCCTGGCCTCAATAAAACAGTCAACAGTCAAAGAGAAGGGAAGCTAAGCTGCCCGCCTCCCTCAGGCTACCCAGGTGTGGAAACTGATTAAACAGCAACAGCTCAATTAACCCTAGCTCCTGTGGCTGATATCTCAGCGGAAACTATCCTACAACCCCCTTGCTGTGTGAATCCACAGGATCCTCCAACAAGGAGAAATTTTCATCCTGCTGGAGAAGCATCCCTTTTATTTCCTGGCTGCAAATGAGTTTTTTCGGACTTGCCTCAGCTGATGAATAACCGAATAATTCAGAAAAGCCCTCAGTCACTATTTTTTGCCTAGAGGTCCTTACAGAGCAGCAGTATTGATACATTACCTATTACTAAGGAAACTTCAGAAGGGCCTTCCTTGACTGTCATTTAAATTAGCCCCACTCACTCTATCCCATTACCTGGTCTTGTTTTTTTTTTTTAAATTAACACTTATTTCTAAGAGTAGATCCCTATTTGTTTGCTTTCTTGTCTCCTCCACTAGTCTGTAAGCTTCATGAGAAGGGGCCCCTCCTCCTTCACCACCTAATCCACAGTACTTTCTAACGGTGGCCATGGGGGCCGTGCTCAATAGACACTTGTGGAATGAGGTGCCTCTAGTTATTGAGCATTTATATGTGCTAAGATCTTTAAGTCTATGATCTCACCTAATCCTCATGCCAACCTTGTGAGTTAGGTCCTTTCTATCCCCCATTTTACATTTCTATACCCCATCTTATGACAAGATTGAGGCTTAGAACGGTTAAGGTCACTCATATAAATGGCAGAGAGGAGCTTCAAACCCTCACTGTGATTCCCAAGTCTGCGCTGTTTACCACTATGATAGAGCCACTCCCATGCATGTGGTTACTGCTTTGGAGTAAGAATATTCTCACCAAAATCCTATCATTTAACCCAGAGTCTCAGAACTGAAGAGGATCTTCTCAAATGCCATTGACACTCATGAAAGTTTAGTAAGAAAAATGGCCAAGAAGAAACCCAGAAGTGACGCTCAGCATCAAACTCTCATACAGGCATTCGAGAGAGAGCAAGGGGGCGGGGGGATGGGAGAGGTTCTATCTTCTGCCAGCTCCGTGTTTATAAATACTACTCTATTAAAGTGGTTTCTTTACCTCCCATAAGGAAGCCACGGAGATACCATCTCTTAATGACACTGCCCTGGGAACGGGGACATCAATACCGATTGAGCAAGTGCTATATGACTCCTGCTGCCCTGCGAAGCTGAGATCATGTTTTATAAACACTACAGAACTTTTATCGTTTATCTTGGGCTGAGCAAAACCATATTTGCCCAGCACTCTGAGTAATGGACAGGAATAGATGGATTAAGGCCCTTAAATTTCTGGTTGGAAGACGTTAAAAGTTTAAGAGCCCTATACAGCTGAGTCACATGCATGTGCTCATGCTGTATAAGGAGCAGACATAACAACAATGGATATACAATTTAAAAGGAAGACCAGCAGGACAAGAATAGGAACCAGCACTCTCCCTCCTCTGTGTGGCCACTTCCCACTTCATCTTCAGCTGTGTACACGGCACCCTCGCTGGCCCTGGCTTACTTTAGTACAAGGGTTTGTATCTCTCCATTTCTTTCCTAAGTAGTTTATGCTTCCCTTGGAAGTCAGCTTTCAGGCATAAGTAATTCATTGCTCCACTACTAAACATTCATTTCACTTTGTCTCAAGAGACTTAATAAATCAGCCTCCTCCGCATTGTTTACTGAGCCCACCCCCAGGTCTTCACGTATAAAAAATGAGCATCCATGTTACTAAGTGGAAGCGAACGGTCACCTCTCCTGCAAGCGAGTTTCCTAGAGCCCAGGGAATGCACAGAGGGAGACGCTTGCTCTGGACTTCCCAGGACCTCTGCTGTCACATGATGGGAGTCCTGCTGTCCTGACTACCACGGCGTAAGAAGGACTGTCTGGGGCAGGGGAGGGCCATAGGGAAGAGGTCAAATCATGGGGTCATAAAGCCACCCTTTAAAGAACATCCCAAGGAGTGATGGCCCTAGATAAGAAACAGCCCTTTGTGATAAGTCCTTTAGTGGAAGACACCTGTATTCTAGGAATTTATGGCCACTCTGCATTTTCAGGGGACCCTGGAGAGGCAGCTACCCTCATTAGCCTCAATTTGCAGTTGGAAAAACTGAAGTTCCTCAACCCGTCCGGCCCCAGCTCTGCATGAAGGGCATGCTTCTGTTTTGTTTGGAACCTGCTGTTCCACTTTTATTCTAGTTTAGTTTATAAGGTCTGGGCCTCAGTCTTTTCTCCTAGGAATCTTCCCTCTTTGCATTCAGTCTGGGCCTCCCCTCAGCCAAAAGTTAGAACTCTTCCCCGGGCTATGACAAGGATGGAAATCCCCCTGCCCTCCACTTCCTCTCCCGGAGCTGTATTCCCGGTGTTGAGGCCACAAACCTGGAGCGCAAAGTACAATTATCAGCTGTGACATCACCAACTTAGCTTCTGGACTGACCTCAACTCTGACCTAAGAGGAGAAAAATTAAAAGGCAAACATTCTTCCATTCCAGGCATCTCCTTTAGCAGTGCAAGAATTAACAATAAAACCAATGAAAGTCCAAGGCAGCCGTGCTGGTACATACAGACTGTCTTTGAAATGAGGCCTAAGATGGCAACTGCTCTCCTTGGAAATTGGACTAATAAACACAAAGCTGTTTCCTCTCCTCTGGTGGCCAAAAGCTTGAACTCTGGAGCCTGCCTGGGTTCAACTTCCAGCTTTGTTACTTAATATCTGTGTAATCTTGGGCAAATTACTTAACTGCTGGGTACCTTGGTTTCCCCATCTGTATAATGGGGATAATACTATAGGCACCTACCTAATAGGGTTGCTAGGATTACTCAAGTTGACACCTAGAGTGCTAGAAACAGTGACTGACACGTTGTTAAGTGCTAATTTTAATTTTAGCTATTATGATCATGTTAAACCACATTTAAATTTGACTCCCCTCATGGCTTCCCAATACCCATCTGGTCTCTTCCACTGACTTTGCCACTGACAGCTGCCCCCAAAATGGCCTTCCGATCAGACTGGTACCATTCTAAATGAGTTACGGCTTGCTGGCTCCTCACACCAGAGTCTGGGAGGCGGTCTGCTGTCGCACGTGTCACACCCTAACCTTTCAGGGAGAAGGCCAAGCGCTTCCCTTGCCCCCTTTGCACTGAAGCCATGTCATCCTTTACAGAAACGCAGCTGCCGCAGGGCTCCTTTCCCCTCTGTGCCGCCACGCCGGTGTTCATCCCCACAGCTCTGCCCCACAACGTCGTTTACCGGGGCATCATCTCTTTCAGGAAAGCCCATAGGGTTGTGCATTTAATACAACACAGGGTTTGAATCAACTGCTCACTTGGTTGGTGACGGTTTGTAAGGTCAGCTCCTGGGAGCCAGTATGTAGTTCCCTTTCTGGGAAGGGGATTCATGAGTCACCAGGTTCCACCACCCTGGGCACACAGAATTAAGAACCCAACACCACCTCTCCGCCTCCCAGGAGAGGGCCTGAAGGACATCCTTCAACCTAGCAAAGCCAAGGCTGTGAGCACCAGGTCCCGGGCTTCCTGCTCCCTTCCTCTCATCCGCCTTATCCAAGGATCAGGTCTTCGAGTTTGGACCTTCCAGCTACTGGGCTGGAGAGAACCAGGGCAGAACCACGGTCAATCTTCTCTGCCGTCCGGGAAAGACGCCAACTATAGACCCAGTGAAGCAAGGCAAAGAACGGCAGGGTAATAAGCTTTCACTTCAAGAGAGGTTCAGGAATGGCTTGGTCAAGAAGCTCAATGAGCGAAGAGACCCCCGATAGTGTCAATGCCACGCAGAACAGGAGGGAGAAGATCAACCACAACTTTATCCTCCCAAGTCAGTCGCCAGAAGGACAATCTAGGGCACGAGCCATTTAATGAACTCCTCTACCAACACACCAAACGCTTTCTCCCAGGTCCTGGCACCCACCGGCTTCATCCTAGGAAATTCACCCTCTAGGTAGGCCAGGGCGGGATTTCTCTCCCACCCCTTCCTTGGGTCGGGGCCCGCGCGCTTACCATTGGCGTTCTTGCCGCAGATGAGATGCTCATAGGGCTGCAGGACGCCCCAGAGCTCGGCATCATTGTTGACGACCATCTCCAGGGCCTCGGGGGACACCTCCCCGCCTCCGGCCCCTCCGCCGTCGGGGCTCTGGCTGGCCAGCACCCTGGCCCGGATCTCCTCCACGAGGTTTTCCATGCAGGCCGTCAGCGAGATGGCCGCGTACTCGTGGATGCGCACGGAGATGCGGGTGTCCACCATCCAGCGGAAGAAGCGGCCCACCGAGAAGGTGAGGCCGCAGCGCGCCGACTTGCCCCGGCGCAGCCCGTCGCCAGCGCTCATGCTGTACAGAGACAGCGCCTTGACAGCGGCCAGCGAGCAGCTCTCGGCCAGCGCCCAGCTGTGCACCAGGCGCACGGCGCTCTGCACCTCGAAGCGGGTGCACTTGGCGTGCAGGACGCTCAGGCGCTGCGCCTCGCGGGCCACGCGGATCAGCGCTCTGCGGAGCAGCCCGGCCAGGCGCCTCACCGCCTCCGCCGAGAACAGGGGCAGCCGCCGGCCGCCAGCGCCCTTGCGCAGCACCCGGGCCACGTCGCCCTCGGTCCAGGGGAACTCCTCCAGCTCGGGCAGGCGCGGGCAGCGCGAGAAGAGGTCGGCCACCTCGGGGTCCTCGGGCAGCACCGTGTTCACCGTGTCCCAGCTGTTGTGGCGGCTGTTCATGGAGCCGGAGTAGCACCACCAGGCCGCCCCGCGGTGCTGCTGCGCCGAAGAGTTGAGCGCCTGCGAGTTGGACTTGGAGGACGAGAGGCTGAGCGAGCGGCACGAGTCCCCGGCCCCATAGCCGGAGTCCAAGGTCAAGTCCTCCAGCGTCTTCAGAGTGCAGCTGTACGTCCCAGCCATGGGGAGCCTGCCCGGGGCGGCCTCGCCGAGCGAAGGGCGCTCACAGCTCCATGCTCCCTTCCGCAGCGGGGCAGAAACAAGCGCCAGGCTCTCCGGGGCGCCCTCCTCCCCCTCGGCGCCGCATCTCCCGCCCCGCGGCCGCTGGAAGGTGGGCGAACCTCGCGGCGGCCGGAGCCCCCCGCGCCCCGGGCCCCGGCGCGAAGCTGGCACGGGCACGGCCCCCGCCGCTCCACCTCGGCACGGCCCTTCCTGCACCTCCGCCGCCAGCAGAGCGTCCGTCCTCCGCGGAGGAGGAATCCCGAGAGAGCAGGGCGGCGGCGGCCCGGGCGCAGCGCGAGGCCAGACCCGCGGCCAGACGGCGCTCGGCAAACTTCTGTGCGGCGCGCCGCCCGCACAGCTGGCTACCCCGCCGCCGGCATGCAAATAGCCCGGGCGGCCCACCAATCCCCGGCCGCGACGGGCAGGGGCTGCACCAATGACCTCCCAGGGGGCGGTCACTATGCAGATTCGACTCCGCCGCGGGTGCAGCCCCGCGCGGCGGAGGCGGGGCTGGAGGCCGGGTCGGGCGCGGCGGCCGGGCGCCGGCGGAGGAGGGGCGCGCTGGGCGGTGGAGCCGAGGCCGGGAGAGCGGGGGTCGGGACGTTAGGCTCGGGAGCTGGCTTCATGAAAGGAAGAGCCACTGTGCCTGCCCCTTCCCGCCGTGCAGGCTTTGGGCGTCCGCAGCTCCCTTTCCAGCCCTCTGCCGAGGGGGTGGCCAGGGTGGGGGCCCGAGCCGGGCGGCCCACCTCTCTCCCGGACTTTCCGTCGAGCCCCTTCGGTTCTCCGAGAGGAAACTCCAGTGTGTTTGGGGGGCGGAGGGACGCCCCTGCTTGCTTCTCTGCTCAAATCCAAGTCTGGTTTTCTTTACGGTGCTGTCTAGGCTCCAATCAGAACAATTTCTTCTGAACCCGGAATCTGATAAATGGACGGGCTCCGGGAGGCCTGCGATCCCCACTGCCCCTGGAAATTACACACGCAGTTTTCTGAGTGTTGCTCTGGGAGAGGGTCCCAACTGATGGGATTCTCAGGAGTCCGTGACTTCCTGTACATCTACGTCTCCAGGACACCGCGTGCTGTCAGGTGGCCCCTTTTTGTCCGAGTGCGCGCGCGCGCGCGTGCAGGGTCATTACAGAAGAATGCGAGGCTGGGAAGTGTGCCTGGCGCTGGCCTGCGCTCAGAACACCTGGCTGAACGCACCGCCTCCGAACGGCGGGCCGATGGACGAGCCGCTGCCCCTCGAGCCGCTGTTTCCTCCGGGGTGGAATGCGTGCTGACCTCAGGGCAGCGCCGCTGTAAACCCGTCTCCGGGCGTGTGTCCGGAGGCCGCCGGTCTGAGCGCTGCTGGTTCCAGCAGACCCACGCCCAGTCCGCTCCGTCCGCTGCGGTCCTGCAGCTATTCACACACGTGCGTGTGCCCCTCCAGCGGAGCCGCAACGTCAAGGAGGACATTGTGCACGCGTTTCCCCGAGGCAGCCTCCCGCGCTCCTGAATGCCTCCTTTGTGCTGTATCTTACACAGTTCTGACCTTGGGTCGTGAGTTGGATACGCACTAGAAAAGTCTGGTTTGTCTCTTTCCTTCTTCAATTGTTGGCGCTTTTTCTGTGAAACTCCTCTTTGGCAGATTGGCTTAGTTTTGCCTTTCTGCCTGTCTTTATTTGTACAATATCGCCTCCTCATGGTGACACTGAGAACGGAGTCAAGGATGGAAGTAATGTGAAAGACGCAAGTCCGAAAGACCAAATTAACAGAGGACGCAAGATGCGACTACATCTTACAGAAGTGAGATAAGAAGTGGAAGTAGGTAATTAGGCGCAACTTGTCAACAATGCGAAAACAAATTTGATGCAACTTAGAACTTACTAGGGGAAATAGAATATCAAGGAAAATGTCGCCCTCTGGTGGATGTTTAGAGGAAATAAATTCCCCCGAATTTTTTTTCCCTTTTTGTTGTCGGCGCCCTTAAAAAGTAACGAAAATTGCTTACCTAGAAATTTACCACAGGGAACTTACTGAATGGAAAGGTTATCTGGGAAACTATCTGGAGCATTTCTTAGGGGAAAAGAGCAGATGGGATTTATCTTAATATATTCAAGGTACTTGATGACTTAGAGCGTCAAGGTAATCAAACGCCTGCAGACAAATTTCAGAATCCTGTGGATGTTGAACCGCACGGCGAGGTTTGTTCGGCAAAATTCAAAATGATACTGGCAAACAACTGAGTTTCATTAATAAATTACAAGGAAAGAAAGGTGGAAAGGAAACCTATACACTAAAAGAGACTTAAAGACATATCAACCAATCACAGCATGTGGAATTGATTTGGAATTTGATTTTTTAAAAAGATCAATTAACATTTGACTTTATGAAACAATTGGAAATCGGGAACACTTCCTGGATATGTGCTATTACGAAATCATTGTTACTTTTTTGATGTGGTAACAGTAGCGTGGTTATGTTTATCAAATGTTCTTATCTTTTAGAGACACATACTGCAATAAGTGTTTTTTAATTTTCTCCATTAAAAAAAGGAAGAAAAATCTTTATGGAAGTCTCCGGTAAAGGGGTAGTAAGTTACGAAAGACGATGAAGACTGTAGATCTCTTGCCTTTCACACATCCCAGAGTCTTGTATAGTCCACTTAAGGACGGGAGTATGCAGTAAACCCACAGTGTTGCTGTGTTTGTGTTTTGTGTAGTGGGGGAGAAAGAAAAGGGGGAAGAGAGGTGGAGATAGAGGACAAGATACATTGAGCCATCTGAGAAATGCACCAACTGATTGATTTCAGTGAATCTTTTGGGAAGTTGGCAACTGGAATGAAGTACAGAACTTTGAGTCCAGGAAAGAAAGGACATAGTTTCTTATATATACATGTGTGTGTTTAATTAAGGCAATCGGGTAGTAATGTGTTTGATCTTGGGAATTCAAATTATATTAGAAGAGAAAGCGTCATCCCAACTCAGGCCTGGCCCAAACATAATCTTTGAAGAAAAACAACTGACATGTAGCTGGCCAAGTTAAAAAGAACATGATGAAACCACAGCAAATATTGGGAGAATTCCCAGTAGAAGGAGCAATTAAAAAACAGATCTGGAATTACCCATGCAAAAATTGTATAAGAGAGGAGCTTGTAATAAAATCTAGAAACTTGGGCCGGGCCGGTGGCGTAGTGGTTAAGTTCACACACTCCGCTTCTGCGGCCTGGGGTCCTCGGGTTCCGGTCCTGGCTGCAGACTTACACACTGCTCATTGGGCCATGCTGGGGCGGCGTCCCATATGCAGAATAGAGGAAGATGGGCACAGGTGTTAGCTCAGGGCCAGTCTTCCTTGGCATAAAAAAAAAATCTAGAAACTTTACCTTGGGCAAGATCTCATATTTGGTTATACAGTTTCTTACAAATGATTTGGAAATTAGGGGACAAAATGCCCTAGAATTTATCTTGAAAGTGAAAGGGTTAATAATCTCCACTATTTAAGTACAGACAGACCTCTCTTATGAGAAAGGTAGGTGACGGCCTTGACTTGAAAGAGTGGCCAAGTTGTAATTTGGTTTGTGGGTCATTTTTGGTACATTCTCTCAGCAACACTTATTGAACACCTCCTGGGTCTAGAACTGTGCTAGATACCATCGAGGTGCATTAGACAAGGTCCCAGCCCAGCCATAACAAAACACTTGGCCAACGTGTAGAGACAGCCATATAAGACAAACTATTCTGCAAACACGCTGTGCAGAGCAGGTCAGTGGTTCCTGACCAAGGGCTGTCGCCAGTTCTTGGACTCGCTGCCCAGATTGATGGATTCAGAGCAGGAATGATACTAACCCAAGGAAGGAAATACTCTGCAAAATGCAAGGAGAGCTGGAAAAGGTGCTGTAGGTAGATGAGTGTGCCATGGTTAGCAGGACAGCTTTGGGGCTGAAAATCAAGCAGAACACTCAGTTGTGGAAAAAGGAACCAGTGGTGGGAAGCTGTGAAGTAACCCTTCCGTTCCGTTAGCGCGTTCCTGACACATGTAGTGTTTCCTGGGCCTCACAACTACGGAGACACACAGATGGTTTGAAACAAAGAACTTCAAGATGACCAAGGGGAAAAATACACTTCCCCAGAGCAGAAGAGTCAGTCTGCAGAAGGTTCTGCAGACGACTCAGTCTGATGAGGTGGTCTGTGAAAAAAAGAGTCCAGTGGGTAAGTCAGGGAAATTTTACGGTCTGTTTCTCCCTCTAGTGTATTCATGATGCACGAGATTTTATTTAAGGCCCTGTTTATATTTCTTTGAACCTAGTATATCCCAGGCTTAACTGGGCAGAGAACTCTGCCCACCCGCACAGGGTTACTGTAAAGTTGTTGGGACTTGTAATTTAACTTGAAGCAGAAAAGGCCATCTTTTGTGTATCTGCTCTGGCAGTGGTGTGGGGGCAGGACCCTTGGAAGACACCCAGATAAATCCCGGAACAGGTCAAGGTTCACCGTGTGCCCCCGCACAAGGCCGGAGTCTGGTGATTCTGTGGGACACAAATGTGATTCCAAAGGTGGATCTAAACCCAGGGCATTGGTGCACAGGGAGAGGTGGAGCGGGTGGGGGCAGGCACAGGGAAAAGGTTCACAGAGCAAACAACAGGGGAGGGGCTCTCCCGGGGGCGTCTGCCTGTTCAGCAGCTGGCTCACAGGTTTGTCAGCTGGTGTTAGACAGGAAGCCATCAAGAGCCTGGGGGTTAAGGGGGAGAATTTCAAGGGATGGGCTGGAACTGAAAACTACGGAGCTGAGTTAAAACTGCAGGACAGAAAACCCAGGGGCTATTGCCGAATCCCCAGCTCTGGATGCTCTCTACACCAGGCATCAGTTGCTGCGATTGTGCTCGTCCATATGCTGGTGCAGAGAATATCGAGTTAAATGTGACACTCAATTCTGCAATCCTTACCAAATGCTCACCTTTCAAGACTCATCTGGCATTCTTATTACAAATTTAAAGTCCCAGCCCCGTTTCTTGGCGATCCTGATGCAGTAAGCCTGGAATGTGATCCAGGTAAAAGTATTTTAAACAAGCATTTCCAGATGATTCTTATCAGGCAAACTTGGAGACTAAGGCATTTGTCCCTTATACC